TTTATATCTAATGATAAAAATAATTGCTTTATAGATCTATGAGGCATAGCCCTAAGGTAGGCGTGTAATTGGAAGTTACTTTTCACACTGGTTAAAAATAGTTAAAATACTACCTCAACCTCACTACTGTACACTTTATTCGGGGTGAAATTTTCATTAACAAAGGCACTCTTGTCTTTTCCACGAAACACAAAAAAATAAGGACATTAATGCGTTACCAACAGACATACACACACAAATGCAGAATTGAATTAGGTGATTTGCTACGCTTTAGCCAAAGCAAATTACAAACAAAATAATTATTTGAAAGTTTTGATAGTGTCATCAAATTTTATGATAATCGTATTTAGGCCTAATCAAACTGTAAAATTTGTGTAAATCCGTTGGCAAATATATAAACAAGTAAATAAATACACAGTCCACAAAACATTGATACGTTAACAACGTAAAGCTTTAAAAATTCATGATGGTTTGCTGAAAAAATCTTTTACTAATGTGTTATTACTTTCATAGCTGAACTAACATTTTTGAGTCCAGACAGAAATCCCAAAAAATATACAGTTAGACATCAATTAAACTTAAAAAGCAATACGGTGCAGCAATAAAGATAACAAAGTTGTAAATAGGGAAGTGTTTGTACGTAAAAATGATTCTTACTGCTACCACAGGTTCTAAGAAAAAGTACCAGTACCAAAAACCAACGTTTACAGTTAAGAAAAGAACTATTAGTACTTACGACCAATTCAAACTGCCCTTCTAATCAAACTGTATTATTGGTGTTAATCCGTTATAGCAAATCTATCAATCTATACAGTGTGTAAATTAAGTATGGAAACAAATCTGTATTTTTAAAACCGAAATAGATAGAAATATTCTATTTGTGGCAATAATAGTTAACAAAGATTCCGCAATTTTTCACATGAAAAATATTTTTTTACCCCCCTAACAGGGTAGGTGGTAGGGGGTGACTTATTTTTTTCAAATAAGAAACACAATGACGCAAATCCGAGGTGAATATCTCACTCCTAGCTACACATGGCGGATATTCCAAAATGGGCTTTTTTTTACAAAAATTAAATTTTTCATTACCCACCATTTAGGCTAGGGGTGAAATATCTACCTCGGGTTTGCGTCATTCTTTTTCTTTTAACAAACCCTTCAAAATGAGGGGTCACTCAATAGGGGTTGTTATTGAAAAAAATAAGTCACTCCCACCCCCTACCCTGTTAAAGGGGTTGAAAAAATATTGTTGATTAAAAAAATTGCGGAACCTATGTCAACAATCAATTCCACAAACAGAATATTTCTATCTATTTCGGTTTTAAAAATACAGATTTCTTTCCATTATTTGTGAAATTGGTGCTTTTCACGTACAATAAATCAAATTTTGGAATATCCGCCATTTGGGCTAGGAGTGAGATATTCACCTCGGATTTGCGTCATTGTGTTTCTTTTGACAAAATCTTCAAAATGAGGGGTCACTCAATAGGGGTTGCTATTTGAAAAAAATAAGTCACCCCCTACCACCTACCCTGTTAGGGGGGTAAAAAAATATTTTTCATGTGAAAAATTGCGGAATCTTTGTTAACTATTATTGCCACAAATAGAATATTTCTATCTATTTCGGTTTTAAAAATACAGATTTGTTTCCATACTTAATTTACACACTGTATATTAATAGGCAAGCATGTTTCTTTAAAACCTTTTTTCTCAGCTCGTGTGCATCGTAGGGAAAATCTACGCATACTGTTAGAAAGCTATTTTCCTGTAGGTGTGCAGAATCCCTTTATAAATTAAAATAGGCTCAAAAATAAGCACAAAAAATGAATTTAAAATTTTGAAAAATTTAACATGGATATTATGAGTTGCCATGCTGGTGACGAAATAACAACGAAATATAAACAGAAAATCAAAACAAATGGAAGAAACTCCAATCACATGTTCTATTCAAAGTGTGGAATGAAAATAAAGAAGTCTGTACATTAAATATTTTTGGTCGAGTTTCGACCACTGGACGACCTCTAGTATACTTATTTAATACGCAAGCAAGTTTTTTGTGACAATTACTCCTCCGAAACTACTGAACCGATTGACATGATTTTGGTGTCATTGGAAAGAGCGTAACGTGAAGTTGTGCAGGAAACTTTCTTTTTAGCTAAATAATTAAAGATTGAGGCCCTGGGGCCCTTTTAAGTTTCATATTTCTCCATAAGATTAACATGGGAAACAAACATTGTTATGAAACTCCAGCTGTTGTCAGAAATGCTGTTCTGCTATTTAATTTAATTTGTTTACAAGGTGAATTGTTTCTTGGTGCCATGTGGTTAGTGAATTATACTTTAGCATATATATTTTAAATGCTATACACTATATAAAATGATAGTATTGTAATACATTGAGAGATCTTCATTTGAATAATCAATAAGCACGATTGAGCCTTTGCCTATATGTTTCTGGTAAGTGTGTTGTAACTGTTTCTTATAGTATATTATAGTATCTTAAAGTAAAACCGAATTATTCTTTTCTGTATTCTCACCCCGTAGCAAAGCACGGGTAGAGCAACTAGTAATAAATAAATACACAGGGGACAAAACATTGATACGTTAACATCGTAAAGCTTTAATTTCATGATGGTTTGCTCAAAAAATCTTTCACTTGATGTGGTATCAGTACCGAAGTTATTAACCTCCCTTGGTTTTTTTTAAGTTTTCGAAAATCTAAGTTATTTCCCATTAATAGCATTATTTGTAAGCAACTTTTAATGTTAACAAAAATAATGACAGTTTGAAGAAACCACCTTTATCCAACCAAAGGTTTCTTATTTAAAAGATAACGTAATCTTTAAACCTAACGTAGATCGGTATATCAAGGAAACATTCGGAGGAGATGTGACAAAAAACGCACAAATCTGGGGTTTTGGACGTTTGTAGTTTTACTTCCTAAGTAGGAAGGCTATGTATTCTAAAAGTACCGATATCGTTGTCGAAATTTGGTTGTGAATAATTCGGCCTACGTAGGGCCTGCCCAAGAGATGGGCTATGGGCCAAGATTTGCGGTATGGTCCAGCGATTGCAGCACAAAGAGGTAAGAAGAATTTAAAAGTGACACATTGGAAAAGCGAGTTTAACTACATCTGTAAGTTAAACCTCTGTTACGATCACAGCGAAATCAGAAAGATCACAGCAACATCCACGATCACCCTTGCAGTTGTGTTTTTATACTTTGCATTTTACACAACTGTCCTTGAAACGCAGTATGATACAGTATGATGCAGTATGATTCAATTAGTGGACACCTTTTTGTAAGCTATTGGTGACGATTTAAAAAAAAATATAAGTTTCCCAGGACTATACAACACTGATTCACGGTCTTTTTCTTAGTTATCAAAACTCAAGTACAATCGTTGCACTTGCGATTAATTAAACCGATTAAGTAAGGCACAGCGTTTTTAATCTCACTTAGTTTGGATGTGCTTACAAAACTTGATCGGAAATGGTTGCGGTACTGTATTTGTAAACAGTATTTAATGTAAACATATCAGTGACAGCTAGAAGTGGGAACTAATCCAAACAGCTGATCGTTATTTCATAAAATGTAATAGTAAACATTAGGAGAACATTTGACAAAAATCTAACAAAATTGTGTTCTTGATAGTTCGTTATTTTGTTTTCAAAGAAGCGAAGCCATGTTTTTATAGCCAAAGACACTCTCACTAATCCAGTAAATACAGAAAATGATTTGAACGGTACTCTAGTTTTCTAGATTTCATGTAATTCTTCAATAATTTAAATGTAGTAGCTAAAAAACGTGTATTTAATTGAAGTAAATTAATATAGGCATATTTATATTCACTGTACTGTATATAAACAAATATCGATTGAGAAACAAACAATTACACGTAATAAAAAACCTCACTAGTCCGCTGCATTGTGATAGCTGGAAATCGTCGGAATAAAAACCGCCGCTACAAGATACAGAAGTTGGTACGCCTACAGCGCCCTCCACAGCTGCGCGCGCCGCTGGCACTGCTGCTCAACACATCCCCACCTAAAAGACGAGCAAGTGGTAAGTCGGCCGGGTCGATTGACGACAAGTTGGTTTCTCGTGTATAATAATTTAGTTTTACAGGCCGGTCAACTGGACTGACGATGAAATAACTTGTCGACGTACTGGTTTTCAGTATTTATCTATTTAATTAAAAAAGACGGTCTAGTGGCAAAACGACCAAGTATCTTGTCGGTCAACTGGTGGCCCCCCTGCCTCAATCATACTTATACTGATTATTCTACACATTGTATATTACCATTGTAATATAGCTCAAAGTTGATGTGATTGGCTTAGGAAAAAGGTTGTGCACATTTTCCTGATGTTAGTTCCTATCAACCATATAGATTTGGCCTTATAGTTTCGTAATTTACGAGACTGCCTCAATCATTCTCATACTGATTATTCTATACATTGTATATTACCATTATAATAGCTCAAAGTTGATGTGATGGGCTTAGGAAAAATGTTGTGTACTTTTTCCTGACGCAAGTACCTATCAACCAGTTATATTTAGCAATATCTTTTTAATTTGCAGAACAACTCCAATCATATTCATAAATTTTATTTTTTTAACTGTATGTTATCATAAGAATAGCTCAATGGTTGCTGTGATAGGCATAGGAAAAAGATAGTGCACTTTTTATGTTGGGAGTTTTAATTGAGCGTGTATATTTAGCCATAGCAATGTATAATTTTCAATACTGCCTTAAATATACCTATCATAATACATTAATTAACTAGTTCAGCTCGTGTATTGACGTTTTATCAAAGTATTATTGACATTATATACATGTAAAAACATTATTATACATCGTATTTGCATTGAATTGGGTTTCCAATATCCCCGCAAAACACGTTTGTAGCGTCCGCAGGCGTACCAACCAGTATCTATTACAATCCGAAAAAGCGCCGATGAAAACGAAAAGAGAAAGAAAGAGAAAGAGAAGAGAAGAGACCCTACCGCTACCCTACCTATCCAACCAGGAACCTCACGAAGGTTAGAATTAGAATTATTAGAAAGTGTGGTTGTGGTTATGTTTTATTTTTAACAAAGTCAAACTCTAGTAAGTAATTTCACCTAATTAAAACCTCAACTCCAACTGTTTCATACAATTCTTAACTTGCAGCAAATAAAAATGGTAATTATTAACTATAGGTAACAATACACAAACAATTTTAATGATTAAATTAAAACAAACAAACACAATCCATATAAGTTAACTATGTATTTTTATCTTTAATTCAATATGATTATTAACGGCATAAACCAGTTTACGATATAACTTACAGGGTACAGTTTCTTAACTGGGCTAAACTAATCAAACTTACTGATAATGAAAAATAATCAAATCGATAGTTTCAATCATCGATATTAACTTAGTATAGGCCTAAGTTAGCCCAGTTAAGAAACTGTACCCAACTTAAAAGACAGTTAGTAAGTTACAAGCCTTTAGCAATATTAGTTTTTTGTTGGGTTTTATAAGACATAAGATTAATTTATTTCCTTTAGAACTTAGATTAGGCCTACATAAAGTCACTGGAAAACGTCTAATTCTAGTACATTATGGATAAAAATTGTCTTCAGCTGAACAATAAGAATGACAAATTTGTTAGGCTATAACTTACGTTATAACGTTATCAAACATTTTTTGAAAAATAAATAGGCCTCCTATAATTTTTCGAACCTTGTCTAGCCGCATATTCACAAAGGTAATTTAATTTGCTTTGAAGGCCATAAGTTAGTTAAATGACAGGGGACATAGCACCTGTCAATATAAATACAGAGAAGTAAGTTAGGCCTATAGAGAAAACATTCAATGTTAGCCTACACCCAAACGGTGTCTCTTGGGCAAAGTCCAACACCGCCCACCTCACTTCAAAGCTCATGGCGAAGGAAGACCCTAAATAGAAGATCCTCAAAGTGCTCATTGCTTGGACTATTCCTCGCTCGTTACAAGTTTCCGGCACAACATACTAAAGCTGATAGCTCACGGTTGTCCCACTCCCATAAGCAAGCTTCCTCTTTACTCACTTCTCTGTGGCATTAGCAAGTTAAAGGTACTTTCTTGCTGGATTTATTCACATAGGGAAATAAGCCAAAGTAAACAATTTATTTTCTTATGCAACGTCGTGGGAAACAGGCCTGAGTCAACATTTTATTTCCATCCACTTTGATTTTTATTAGAGGCTAGCCTACCAGTTCTTAAAATACTTATGGATAGCAATGGTTGCACTATTTTGTTTAGAATTATAAGAACCATAACATACAAATTTCAATTAAACCGGCTTTTTCAAAAATATGATTTTTCCTTATTTTATGGTTAATAACATTTAAGTTACAATTAATTTATAAACAGTTATTTTTACTGGAATGGGTGTTGTACCATTTTGTCCAGAATTCAAATTACTATAACATACTACATTTCTACAAAAACCTATCATGCCCTTACTCGAAAATATCCATATACTGGTATAGGCGGAGAAAGTAAAAACTAACCTAAGCTAACTCAACCAAATGATTAAACAGCAAAAAATAAATGTACTTATTTAACATGTGTTTTATCATTCATTGTGAACTTAAACATAATCAAAAATAGTCCTACTGACAAATACCGTACTGCTAAATATAGATTGATATGGAAAAATACAGAAATAAGTTAGGTTATTATAACAATCATTCTGCCAGTAAAATCACTCAGATATCAAAGTCCTGCCTGTCAACAGTGTGGTCAGTCTAGCTACCACTCGAGATTTTAAAAATTCAAAAGATTTATTTATCATTCAGTACGAAAAAATACAATAGTCTTTGTCACATCGCCTTAGCCTGTCTCTATGTCATTATTGCCACATCAATGTTGTCATGCTTTGTCCAAAAAAGTCAGGTCTTTAATCAGTCAGTGGTGTTAAAACTTAGACTTTAAATTACCTAGTGTATTTTTCAGTTTACAGACAAAACTGTAGGCCTACAAAACATCTCAGTAAATAAAGTATTCGTTAAACATCTATTCAATGACTATAAAAAATCCTTTGCTTACCTTTAACATATATGTACAAACTTATCTTTACAGGTTACAAGGTGCATGGACTGTTGAGTCGGAGAGTTCTTATCACTACGACTTGTCTGACTAAGCTTATAACAGGTAATATTCTAGCCTATTAGATTTTTAGTTGAGACTAGCTGATTAGGCCTACCTGTGCTTCGCAATGGGAAGATAAACTACACTTGTTAATTAGTTTAAATTTATATACAAAAAGCCACCAAATTTATACTTAAAAGCATCACCTACATTGTAATCAGAGAGCACATGTTACTGTTGACATGAAAATATATCAATAACATTATTTTCATATCTTAAGACACTTTAATAAATCAAAAGCAGAGCCAGGGTTGATACAGCAACGGTTGTAGAATATATTTTTTTATTTCCATAATCAATGAGATAGTTTTAGAATAAAACGCCGCAGCAAACCGGCGGACTAAACAAATTTACTCTGATTACATTTTTACTAATATCTTATATATTTCCATAAATAAGACATATTTATTCCCAATTTAAATAGCATTAGATTTAACGAGTGCTTAGGTTTGCTGCTACGGGGAAGGTAAAAAGTGTTTTTTGCCCAAATCTCAATCGTATGAAATAAATAAATTTGCCAAATTTTATCAACATACATCTATAAACAAATAACTACAACAGTTTTAATTTTCTCCATAAGAAAAAATGGGAATTTTAAATTTACACTTTCTTGAATTTTCTCTGTAACCATTAGGCATACCGGTACAATAATGCTTCAATATACTAGCCTATAATTTATTTCTTTTTCAAGCACTACGAAATAGTTGGGAAAGATATTCCAAAATTTTATGTTTTTAGGGTAAAAAACGGGAAAATTTTAAAGATGAGCAGTCCGGAGTGCGGAAACTGTTAATGATGATTAGAGGTATCTGCAATCCTAAAATGCTATGGGATGGGAGGAAAACAGGTCCGCGACATAGGAAGTGGCGAAGGAAGTAGTCTAGGCAAGCTTTCCAGAGTGTGGGAACTGTTTATGAAGATTAGATTTCTGCAATCCTAAAATGCTACATGGGAAGGGAGGGAAACAGGTCCGTGATGTAGGAAGTGGTGAAGGAAGTAGTATAGGCGAGCAGTCCGGAGTGTGGGAACTGTTTGTGATGATTAGATTAAGGTATCTGCAATCCTAAAATGCTATGGGAAGGGAGGAAAACAGGTCCGCGACATAGAAAGTGGTGAAGGATGTAGTAAAGGTGAGCAGTCTGGAGTGTGGGAACTGTTTATGAAGATTAGATTAAGATATCTGCAATCCTAAAATGCTATGGGAAGGGAGGAAAACAGGTCCGTGACATAGGAAGTCATGAAGGAAGTAGTAAAGGTGAGCAGTCCGGAGTGCGGAAACTGTTTATGATGATTAGATTAAGGTATCTGCAATCCTAAAATGCTATGGGATGGGAGGAAAACAGGTCCGCGACATAGGAAGTGGCGAAGGAAGTAGTCAAGGCAAGCTGTCCGGAGTGTGGGAACTGTTTTTATGAAGATTAGATTAAGATATCTGCAATCCTAAAATGCTATGGGAAGAGAGGGAAACAGGCCCGCGACATAAGAAGTGGTGAAGGAAGTAGTAAAGGTGAGCAGTCTGGAGTGTGGGAACTGTTTATGAAGATTAGATTAAGATATCTGCAATCCTAAAATGTTATGGGAAGGGAGGGAAACAGGTCCGTGACATAGGAAGTCATGAAGGAAGTAGTAAAGGTGAGCAGTCCGGAGTGCGGAAACTGTTTATGATGATTAGATTAAGGTATCTGCAATCCTAAAATGCTATGGGATGGGAGGAAAACAGGTCCGCGACATAGGAAGTGGCGAAGGAAGTAGTCAAGGCAAGCTGTCCGGAGTGTGGGAACTGTTTATGAAGATTAGATTAAGATATCTGCAATCCTAAAATGCTATGGGAAGAGAGGGAAACAGGCCCGCGACATAAGAAGTGGTGAAGGAAGTAGTAAAGGTGAGCAGTCTGGAGTGTGGGAACTGTTTATGAAGATTAGATTAAGATATCTGCAATCCTAAAATGTTATGGGAAGGGAGGGAAACAGGTCCGTGACATAGGAAGTCATGAAGGAAGTAGTAAAGGTGAGCAGTCCGGAGTGCGGAAACTGTTTATGATGATTAGATTAAGGTATCTGCAATCCTAAAATGCTATGGGATGGGAGGAAAACAGGTCCGGGACATAGGAAGTGGCGAAGGAAGTAGTCAAGGCAAGCTGTCCGGAGTGTGGGAACTGTTTATGAAGATTAGATTAAGATATCTGCAATCCTAAAATGCTATGGGAAGAGAGGGAAACAGGCCCGCGACATAAGAAGTGGTGAAGGAAGTACCGGTAGTAAAGGTGAGCAGTCTGGAGTGTGGGAACTGTTTATGAAGATTAGATTAAGATATCTGCAATCCTAAAATGCTATGGGAAGGGAGGGAAACAGGTCGGTGACGTAGGAAGTCATGAAAGAAGTAGTAAAGGCAAGCAGTCTGGAGTGTGGGAACTGTTTATGATGATTAGATTAAGATATCTGCAATCCTAAAATGTTATGGGAAGGGAGGGAAACAGGTCCGTAGGTGAGCAGTCCGGAGTGCGGAAACTGTTTATGATGATTAGATTAAGGTATATGCAATCCTAAAATGCTATGGGATGGGAGGAAAACAGGTCCGCGACATAGGAAGTGGCGAAGGAAGTAGTCAAGGCAAGCTGTCCGGAGTGTGGGAACTGTTTATGAAGATTAGATTAGAGAAGATAACTTATTATTAAATTCACAAAAAACTAAATTTTTAAATTTCAGAACAGGACAGAACAGAATTACAAAAGAGCCAACATTAACTTACAACTCAAATAACATTCAAAGGTAAATAAAATCAATTTTCTGGGATTAACAATAGATGACAATTTGAATTGGGATAAACATACACAGAAATTTTTAACCAAAACTAACTCTGGAATGTTCGCATTATCAAAAATGTCTTTTTATTGTAATTTGAAAACCCTAAAAAGTATATATTTTGCACACATTCACTTCCATATTTCATTCGGTTTAGCATTATATGGGTCAACAAAAATATTAAATATGGATAGTATTCTGAAGTGACAAAAAGAAGCCATCAGAATTATGCTTAAGCTTAAACAAGATGATTCGGCAAAAGAACATTTTAAGAAATTACAAGTTTTTACAGTTTATGGGCAATATATTTATGAAACAATTCTTATCGCAAAAAAAATTAATCTGAGCAAGTAATAAACTGCATTCAGTGCATTCTTATAATTTTAGGAGGAGAAGGGTGTTTGTCCAGCCTCACAAATTAAAATAAAAAAAAACCCCTCATATGCTGGTAATGATTTTCTAAAATTTGTCCCTGAATTCATAAAAAAAGAAACGAACCTATCTAAATTCAAGAAAATTCTAAAGGAGCATTTAATAAATCTAGCATTTATATTCTTTTGATGAATTTTCCACCTCCCATAAATAGAAATAGTAGCCTATTTTTATTTTAAGTATTCTGACACTATTCACTGTACCACCAATGTACATGATTTACGAATAAAGATGTTTGAATATGAATATGAATTGCAACTCAGCAGCATTTCTTTAAATTAGGTTGACATAGAGAGGTTACGGTGCAATTATCTGTATGAATAATCAACAAAATTGAACAGAATAATAAACATTAATCTGTAGGGACAAGAATTAAGATCAAACCTCAAAATTAGTGTAACTGAGCAGTCTGACATATTCAAAGCAGATGATTGTTTTCAAGCAGGCCCACGAGGACTGTTTTCCACAGCAGCACGGACTCTATCAAATGTTAGTTGTCTGACACCCCATCTGACTTTAGATGGCTTGTCAGTTTCTTTTTGAATGCAGAAGCCATTGTTCTAAAGTTGGTAACCCACCACATGATTGTACCACTTATTGGAATTAACGTTGCCCTAATTTAAAAATAATATGCCTAACTGCCGCTTGCAATGACTGAATCATAACTTATTAAATTTAACCCGCTAACAAATGCACGATGCTCAGGTGACCACCGCTCTATGACCACAGATAAAGTCATCGTGTAGGCATTCCAATGAGCCTAAAACCACCACTCAGACGACCTGTTAATGATCAGTTTGCTACATAAAATAGATCGTTTTTTGATGCACCCTGTATAGTTTTAGTTCAACATAATTTTTATCAACTAGTAGGGCTATAATAATGATTATACTGTGTAATCATTATTACACCTAAATTGTTTGTTAATATAGTATGATCTTTTTCAGAAGTATCGATAGATGAGCCCACTATTCATGTAACTGCAAGACATTTAACAAGTCCTACACGAAAACAGAAATTCATAAATAGAGGTACTAGGCTTATTGATTAGTTGACCCTTCTGATTATCATGGTATAAGCTTATCTAAAAAGTATCACAAAACCAAAAATTGGAAGATTACCAATGTTAGAACACACAAAAAAGGTTCCTACTAAGTGTCCAATATGTGGAAAAATTATTTCAGTTCAAAGACAATTGAAGTATCATATATTCTATCACACGGGTGAGCGCCCCTTTAAATGTTTGACATGTGACAAAACCTACATTTACCAATATCAAGTAAAGAGTCATGTGTTGACACACTCAGGAAAGCGTCCTTATAAGTGCAGTTTTTGTGGAAAATCCTTTGTATTCCAAAAAAATTTGAAGTTACATAGAATGTCGATTCATACAGAAAAGAAGCGATATAAGTGCACTACATGTGGAAAATCCTTTGTATTTAAATGCAATTTGAAGTCACATACACGGGTTCATACAGAAGAAAGACCTTATAAGTGCACTGTATGTGGAACATCCTTTTTACGCAAAGAATATTTGACGGCACATTCACGGATCCATACGGGAACGAAACCTAGACCTCATAAGTGCACTACATGTGGAAAATCCTTTTTATGCAAAAGCCATTTGGAGTCACATACAAAGGTTCATACAGGAGAGAGACCTTATACCTGCACTACTTGTGGAAAATCCTTTTCATTCCCAGGCAATTTGAGATCCCATACACGGGTACATTCAGAAGAGAGACCTTATAAGTGCACTATATGTGGAAAATCCTTTTCATTCCCAGGCAGTTTAAAGTCACATAAACGGGTCCATTCAGAAGAGAGACCTTATACATGCACTACATGTGGAAAGTCCTTTCTATCCAAAAGCAATTTGAAGGAACACACACAAGTTCATACAGGAGTGAGACCTTATAAGTGCACTAAATGTGAAAAATCCTTTACAACCAGAAGAAATTTGAATTGTCATACTCGAGTCCATACAGGAGAAGGACCTTATGAGTGCACTAAATGTGAAAAATTCTTTGTACACAAACACAATTTGAAGACACATACTCGGGTTCATGAAGAAGAGAAACATTATATTTGTACTACATGTGGAAAGTCATTTCATCACAAAATAGGTTTGAACTCACATATACTGACTCATACAGGAGATAAACCTCATAAGTGTTCTACTTGTGGAAAGTCCTTTTCAACCCAAAGCAGTTTGAAGTCGCATACAAAGGTCCATACAGAAGAAAGATCTTTTATATGCAGTATTTGTGGAAAATCCTTTACATGCAAAAGCTATTTGAAGTCACATACATGGGTCCACATAAAAGAGAAACCTTATAAATGCACTACATGTGGAAAATCCTTTAATTACAAAACAAGTTTGAACTCACATATACTGACTCATACAGGAGATAAACCTCATAAGTGTTCTACTTGTGGAATGTCCTTTTCACTCCAATGCAATTTAATACGACATACACAAGACGTCCATACAGAAGAAAGATCTTTTATATGCAGTATTTGTGGAAAATCCTTTACATGCAAAAGCTATTTGAAGTCACATACATGGGTCCACATAAAAGAGAAACCTTATAAATGCAATACATGTGGAAAATCCTTTGCATCAAAAAGCATTTTGATGAAACATACACGGGTTCATACATGAATGAAACCTTTCAATAGCAAACTATGTGTGAGAAATCTTAAACATCGTAAAGAAATTATAACAGACATTGTTTTAATTCATAGCAATAAACTTTATTACAAGTGTGAAAAATCTTTTCCTTCCATAATACAGTAGACTCCTTGTTATCCGGACTCCTCGGGACCAAGGCCAGTCCAGATAACGGTTTTTCCGATTAAGCCAACGTCCCCATAAACTCGTTAAAACAGACCGTTTACGGTGATATTTGTCTTAAATTTAGGAGAGCATTGTATTTCAACTTGTCTGATTACATTTTTACTAAAATATTTCCATAAATAAAATAAGACATATTTATTCCCTACTAGCAGAGTACCTGTTCTTCGTACTGTATTAGTATAAAATGCTTATTTCAGTTATACTTAGCTTTGCATTTGCAATGGGAGAAGACATTTTTTAAGAAAATTTGATTATTTTAATTTACGGTATGCTATAGTATAGCATAGCACATCTACTATAGCCATAATGTTCTACCACTGCAACTAAAGAATAGATAAAGTAGAGTTCTTATTGTATATCACTGATTTTTGTTGGTAGTTAGTTCAAAATTCAAAAAGTTTTATAGTGCTGCACCCTTAGTGGTAAACCTTAAAACTTCTTTACGCTATTTATTATCATAGAACCAACTTGTGTTGTTGATACAGCTGACAAAATTGGTTTATTCCTTTTAAATATGATTACTCATAAGGTTAACATGGGAAACTGCAGAGCCACTGGGGTTACCGAAAGGACTTTTGAGATAAGAATGTGTCTATATGTTAATCGGGAATGTGAGCTATCATCACACCAAATTTCAGCCCGATCCGACCTGTGTTTTTCGCATTTACTTGTCACAAACATACATACATACATCCAAACTTTCTCATTTATAATATTAGTAAGATTTAAATAACATTACATTTAACAATAGCTTAGGTTTGCTGCTACGGGGAAGGTAAAAAGTGTTTTTTGACCGTATGTCAATAGTATAGGATGAAATAAATAAATTTGCCAAATTTTATCAATATATATCCATAAAATACAAAAATTTTTATTTTCTCCATAAGAATAACATGGGAATTTTAAATTACACAATTTTTTAATTTTCTCCGTGACCTTTAAGCATACAAAAGCGCTTCAATATACTAAATTATTTCTTTTTTTAAGCTCTACAAAATGGTTTTAAAAGAACTTGCAAAAATTTTTGTTTAGGTTAAAAACCCCCCATAAATCCCCGTTCCCATGGCGATTATGCTGGATCGCGAACTCGTCCGAATAAACATAGGTTTACACAACTGTACCAAATTCATCAAAATCGGATCATTTTTTAAAAAACGGACACATATGTATATATATGAATTTGAACGGATGGTGTTTTTGGCCTCTAGGGACCTCAAAATGAAAAATTAAATTGGTCCCAGGTCCAGGTCTTACCATGACTACTACGGTAATAGCTTATTCCCCTATATGGGAAATTCGCTAAAAGGGATGGCAATGCCTTAGTATTTTTGTCTTTTGTTATCTAGGCTATACCCACACAATCTAACTTAAATTATTAAGCGAATAATAATCGTGCGTGCTATCTTGGGTATTCAAATGCCTCTCAATTGGTCAATTGGTCATTGACATTACTGCTATTAAAAAAGGAACTCCAATAATACTAATGTGAAACTTAAATCCACCGAAAATGTGCAACGTTACCAGACTGACGATTAAAAAAATGACACCAAAATTGATTGAAGCAAAAATTATCAGTGGCAAGTTTAAAGGAGAAATAGTCTTAATCCCAAGAATACTGATGATTCCATCCAAATTACCCTCTGAATTTAAGCAACTACAATTTCCTTTGCGTCTTGATTTTGCAAAGCACCATCATCCATTCATCCATCATCATTGCACTAGGGCAATCCCAATCCCTGACTATCATCGGTTTAAATTTAGAAAATGCATGCTTTTCACACAGATAGCTATATGTTGTTGCGTGCTCACGTGGTGGGTAGATACACCTGAAAACTTTTATATTTATACACCTAATGTAAAACAACATGACCATTGATTGCGATGAATTGCTTTAAGGGGTTTAACAAAACTAGTGATTTTATCTTAACCATGGAAGTCCCGTTACAAATAATGTGATGAAATACTGAAAGACTTAAAATTTAGGAATAATGCACTTTTTCAGGTCACTTAATTCAATTTTGTGCACTAATATAATTTTAAATCAATATGATGTTAATAAACAAGTAGGGTTTGTTAAAATATTTTTCCTACAGTCACTCAACAAAGTTGGCTTCCTTGTACTGTTTACAGTACAGAAAGCTGCTAATTTGCTGCATATTTATACTTTGTCGTATGGTTTATACTTTGGCGCACATCAGGATTCCAACGAAACAACACAAAACAGTGTGGTTCTATTATGCACGGAATCCGTGTACGCTTGGAAATAGGTTGGCAACACTTAAAGATAATAATACTATGAGCAGCTTATTGACTATCATAACAACGATTTAACCTGTAATTTCGTGTTTATAGTTTATGTTCTCTTTTCGGTATTTCTGAACTTTCTGGACTTTTATTTTAAACGTTTTTAAAACATTCCTACGATCTTAATAAACAAGAAAATTCCTTTAAATCATTTTTTTAGGCGCAGAAACCACTGCAAATTACAATACCCCCGCCACAGCAAACCTGCAGACTAAGCGAATTTCCATTTGATTTACACTGAAATGTCTACTTAAAAATATAACATTTATTCCCGATTTAAATAGAATTAGTTTAACAAGTACTTAGGTTTGCTGCATCAGGGAGGTAAAACTGTTTTTTTTATGTTAATAGTTAGTAAGAAATAAAAACATTTTTAAAATTTGATCAAAATATGTTCATAAACAAGCAAACTACAACAGTTTACTTATTCTCCATAAGAATAACATGGGAATTTTAAATTTACAATTTTTTGGAATTTTCTCCGTAACCATTAGGCGCATAATAACGCTTCAATATACTAAATTATTTGTTTTTTTAAGCTCTACAAAATGGTTTGGAAAGAAATTGCTAAATTTTATGTTTTTTGGGTCAAAAATGCGAAAAACCTATTTTTACCCCATAAAACCCCCCGTAAACCCCCGTTCCCATGGTCCGATCATGCTGGATCGCGAACTCGTTCGAATAAACGTAGATTTACACGTTTGTACCGAATTTCATCAAAATCGGATCATTTTTGCTCGAGTTATAGTGCTAACGGACACACATATATATATATATATATATATATATATATATATAAATATATATATATATATGAATTTGAACGGATGGTGTTTTTGGTCTCTAGGGACCTCGAAACGCAAAAAAAAATCGGTCCCGCGTCCAGGTCTTACCATGAGTACTATGGTAATAGCTTATTCCCTATATGGGAAATTCGCTAAAAATATACGGAACTATTTCCTCAAGTCGCGGAGCACATCACTTGCCTAGGAAAAAATAGCAGAGTGATACGGACCGGGGACTAGCCTACTTTCTTTAGGGCATCTATTTGTGTTACCAGCTGAATCTAAAAACGTGTTGTATAGTGTTTGAAAGACTTATTATTTATATGCTTTATAGTGACTGTGGGAAAAATATGTGTAACACGAGTGCAAAAGGCCTTTGCTGCACTCGAGATTATTCCGCACTCGCCTGCGGCTCGTGCTTAAACGTTGCTCTCATGTGCAGCAAAGTGCCATTTTGCTCACTAGTTACACAAATAACTATTGTAATCATTATTTGACCTAAATTAATGTGTTGACATAGTATGATCTTTTTCAGAATTATCAACAGATGAGTTCAGTATTCATGTAACTGCAAGTCCTACAAAAAAAGGAGACTCATAAATAGAGGTAGAAGGCTTTTTGATTAGTTAACCCTTCTTATTATCATGGTATAAGCTTATCTAAAAAGTTTTACAAAAACAGAAATTGGGAGATTACCAATGTTAAAACAAACCATAAAGGTTCCTACTAAGTGTCCAATATGTGGAAAAGTTATTTCAGTTCTAAGAAAAATGAAGTATCATATATTTTGTCACACAGGCGAGCGGCCCTATAAATGTTTGACATGTGACAAAACATTCATCTACCAATATCAAGTAAAGAGTCATGTGTTGACACACTCAGGAAAGCGTCCTTATAAGTGCATATTTTGTGGAAAATCCTTTGTATTTCAAAAAAATTTGAAGTTACATACAATGTCGATTCATACAGAAAAGAAGCGATATAAGTGCACTACATGTGGAAAATCCTTTGTATTTAAATGCAATTTGAAGTCACATGCACGGGTTCATACAGAAGAAAGACCTTATAAGTGCACTGTATGTGGAACATCCTTTTTACGCAAAGACTATTTGACGGTACATTCACGGATCCATACGGGAACGAAACCTAGACCTCATAAGTGCACTACATGTGGAAAATCCTTTTTATGCAAAAGCCATTTGGAGTCACATACAAAGGTTCATACAGGAGAGAGACCTTATAAGTGCACTACTTGTGGAAAAGCCTTTTCATTCCAAGGCAATTTGAAGTCACATTCACGGATTCATACCAAAGAGAGACCTTATAAGTGCACTACATGTGGAAAATCCTTTTCATTCCCAGGCATTTTAAAGTCACATAAACGGGTACATTCAGAAGAGAGACCTTATATATGCACTACATGTGGAAAGTCCTTTCTATCCAAAAGTAATTTGAAGAAACACACACAAGTCCATACAGGAGTGAGACCTTATAAGTGCACTAAATGTGAAAAATCCTTTACAACCAGAAGTAATTTGAATTGTCATACACAGGTCCATACAGGAGAGGGACCTTATGAGTGCACTAAATGTGAAAAATTCTTTGTACACAAACACAATTTGAAGACACATACTCGGGTTCATGAAGAAGAGAAACATTATATTTGTACTACATGTGGAAAGTCATTTCATCACAAAACAAGTTTGAACTCACATATACTGACTCATACAGGAGATAAACCTCATAAGTGTTCTACTTGTGGAATGTCCTTTTCACTCCAATGCAATTTAATAC